ATGCAGTGGATCTTTCAAACTAAATTCCAACTGTTTTCGTAAACCTTAACGCATGGAAAGCCAGAGGCCCAAGTCCAGTCGTTCTGAGAAGCACGTCAGCGATTCATTCTCGAATCGCTACCGATTACGAAGTTCGTTGCTTTCGGACTTCATCACTTAGGAAGTAGGGGAGGGAGCTTCGTTGAAACGTGATCGCCAAATGAAGAAACCGGCCTGTGCAGATGCTGTGAGAGACTTCAATCGCGCGCAGAAAGCGCGCACGAAAAATGCCGTACATGCGACGCCACCGCGGGGCTCACCAAGGAAGCGGCTATGGCACACACTGTACTTCGCTGGCGTTAGGTGGCACAACATGCCAAAAGAAGCCTCGCCGCCACAGCTGAGAAAACTTATCTGAATTTACTTTTTTTCTTGTTTACTGAATCGCCATGCCTAGTTGTTTTACGTTTTGCATACAACACAAACAATTCTGAAGCAATAAGCAACAGCTATGTGCTGTTAGGGGGGGGGGGGGGGGGGGGCAACCGTTTTTTTCTGCCCCGATGGTGCGCACGCTTATGTGTACATTAGCCGAACATCATTTGGATACGCTCTCTACGAAGGCAGAAAAAGGGTCTTCAACCAAAAATTATTCTTTTTATAGCGTGGTCTATGGGAAACATTTATTTCTTTGTTAAACGCTATGTAGGATGGGAAACATTTAGTGCATGGTATATGTATGTAAGAGCTGTATTCAGCTTTCCTTATTACAAAATTAGCACAGGCTTGTACAGTTATATAATAAGGTGTTTAGGAAAACAAGATGAAAAACGACTAAGAGTACTAAGTTCTCTGCAGCTGGACAGCGGGAAGTCGACAATTAAAAAGATCGTTGAGGTTTATTGAAAGACATACTGGACGATTTAAAATATACAGCACTCTACCAAAGCAGATATATATGTAAGTGGACCTGACGACGATAAATAACATCAAAACGTCCGATTAGGTTGTGTTTGTACTGGAGAATATTTTTTATACTTATAACACCTTACAAATGGGAGTCAATTGCCGTAGAAGCGTCGCCGCTACTTCTTTCATCTGCCCCGCCGCGGTATAGTCAGGTTCTCGGCTATTGACCCGCCGGTCGCGGGATTGAATCCCGGCTGCGGCGCCTGCATTTTCAATGGAGGAGAAAATGCTGTAGGGCCGTGTGCTGAGATTAGGCTGTATATTAAAGAAGCCCAGGTGGTCAAAATTTCCAGAGCACTCCACTACGGCGTTTCTCATGATCATATGGCGGTTTTGTGCGTTAAACTCCCAAAATTTATCTTCCTTCATTTTTTTACGAATTTTAACACTGATTGCTTACTTCTGTGAGATATTTAAAAGCATAAAAAGTACACCAAGGTTGAAATACTTTGTTTGATGAGCGTGGCTTTTAACACAATACGGCTAGATGTCACCAAATCACCTCAGAAGCGATTGATTCCTTCTCTTGTTGAAGTAAGTCAGTAATAAAAAAAGCAGCAGCAAGGTCAACTTCGGCTATCTCCCAGACAGCATTCGACGTATCGAAGGCAATCGCAAGCTATACCACGATATATCAATTTATAAGGATAAAATTTTGACACCACGTCAGAAACTTCAGCCTTCTGAACGAACAATTTGTGCTTTTAAGGGGAATTAGAGGCGATGCTTTAGGTAGCAATCGAACTGTGCATATGTAGACTTTTCTTTTTACGGCATAATGAGTGCCACCATATATAGACCAATACATATTTGTACTTGTACACAGTATTGTAGTATAACTGCAGCTGCGTCGATGATTTTGTATTGCTAATTGAAACCATGTCGTGAAGGAACCAAGAAGAACAGAAACTCATCAGGTCGTGATTCCCCTCTCTTCTCTAGACAGTTACACGACACTGTCACCATTAAAAAGAAACGGTCGAGATTATCAAACCGTGGCCCCAATAATGAAACCATGACCACGTGCTCGCATGCGTCTCCATTGCGGCCATGGCAAACCAAGCTCGCGGAATGCGCCTGGTTTCGTTTCTTTGAGCGTGTCTCAAATGAAGCGCAAATCTGGCACGTTAGGCATGAAGTAAACACAGACTTTGCAGTCACCATTTACTTTGATGTCGCTAGCATGTGGATTTTGTTGCCGCATGTAACCTCATAAAACCTTGTAACTATGCCGATAGAGTGCTAAATCACCTCTAAATGAATATTTAAATCTGTTACATTATTCAGATAATGCAAAAGGGAGCCATTTCAATCAGGGAACCTTAGGTGCCTCATGAGACGCGCAAATTAGCTTTAGGCATCGACCATTTTCCCGCGGGATCGCCGTCAAAACATGCCATGCCTGAAATCATGACGGTATTACGTATTATCCTTATGTCTGCTGACGACGTCATGACACGAGCTCCCTTGGGCAAGAATAGGTTGGTCACCGGAGCCGGTGCAAAACTAGGGGAGGCAAAGAAAGCTTGTAATGCCTAAAAATTACTTTCGTTAAGTGAGCGAACATTTTGGTAAGTAAAAAGGTAAGCTTTATGTTTGCGAGGACGACTTCGAGGTAAAGATTATGTTTAGCTATAGCTCAAAGACTAGCTTATAAGATAAAATTCTCTATTTTGTTGTTGCAAATAGCGTACTTAATTAGAACATTGTAGCGATTCACTAGATGAGGACTGGACAGAGAAGAACATGATAGGAAAGGCGCCCGTCCTGCCATGTTCTTCTCTGTCCAGCCGTTATCAAGTGTAACGCAACAATATTTTACTTGGTGTGTATAACCGAATAACCGTACCACGTGTTATGTCAGGAGAGACAACCTATTCGAGAGTTTGAAATTTGCCGCGAGAACATATGAAAGTTTAGTGTGTAGTGCCATCTGATGAGCAGTAAACACAGCATTGAAAATGCTGCTTTTTGATCTAAGAAAGAGAGGGCTCTGAGCTGTCGGCTTTTTTTAGAGTAACTGTATATGGTCATATAGAGTTACTCTAAGCTTTTTCTTCGCACGTGAAAACATAGATAATACCGAATTCGATATTCAGTCGAAATTTATTCATCATTTGCCAGACTCACAAGTAAGACTCATCGATCACATAGTTGATGTTGCACTCGGCGAAAAATCCCATGGGAGGAACATTAATCAAAGCCGTCATACAGGAAAGCGTTTTCTACAGTAACTCTTATTTAAACTGCACTCATGGGCGGCCCCTGGTTAGTTATTACCGGTTGGATTGATCAGGTTACCATCACCAATGCTTAAGAAGGTGAAATTCCATGTATCTAAGGGAACGTTGTGGACTGATTGCTGTAGTCTGGTATGTTCATACAGGTTAGATACAACTGCTATTACCCGAGCTGACACTCCCGCGTTCATCAAAAGGGCTATGTCATCATCCCGGAGTGGTTGTGGTGACTCTGAGGCACAAGTTAGAAACGTTGAACATACGGCGCTAAGCGGGCCAATATGCTACGTAGCGGTCTGTGCACCAACTTCGTAAAACATCGTTCACGAGGCCACGAAAAAAGTCCAAATTGTCCGAATGCCGAGTTACTATAGTGTGAAGAAAACAAAAAAAAGAAGTGTCAATAAATAACTGTACTTACATTTTGTTAGTGAATGGGTGAATCCAGGCTGCGGCGGCTGCATTTCCGATGGAGGCGGAAATGTTGTAGGCCCGTGTGCTCAGATTTGGGTGCACGTTAAAGAACCCCAGGTGGTCTAAATTTTCGGAGCCCCCCACTACGGCGTCTCTCATAATCATATAGTGGTTTTGGGACGTTAAACCCCACATATCAATCAATCAATGGGTGAATCCAGTAGTTACTCTGCGCAAGAGTATTTTTTTTTTGTCTATCGTAATGTGGCTGTGGCTCAGGACGCTCGCGACAAGGTGAAAGTGGCCGCAATTTTGTCGTACAGACAGCACAGTGAAAGGCGCGCTTTCATCACTCGGTCTGCTTATCTCCGGAGCGGTGGTGGGCGTGCGCAATGGAATACCTCCATTGCGCACTCCATTGCGCACGCGCACCACAAGCACTGCACGCCCACGCGCCGAATACCTTTTTCGCCCCAACACTGGTCGGGGACGGATCGTTCTTGCGCAGCAGAGTGTAGCACGCGAAGTTTATGACAGCATACGAACCAACTTAGAAGTTCTTCAACAGCTTTCACGATGTTTAAGTTTTGTAACACTGCGCCTGCGTTGCTCCAAGTCGAAACAAAGCTACTGAGTTACGCATCAGCCTTTCCAAAGGCTCGCGAATAAGCGCCACTTCCACTAACGCTCTTTTGTGGCACTTCGCACTCGGTGCGCTCCGATTATCGTTCGAATTAACCGGCTTGTCACGGAATATGACCAAATTTACGGGTGTTTGATGCAAATCAAGAGCGCACGACGTGACCACATAGCCCGTTCTAAATTATCTGATTGTCCGAATAAAGGAGGGCCGAATCAAGCAGCTTTTGCTTTATATGTTCTTCTTATAGATCAGTGCTTTTTTTAATATCTGTGGCATGCCAAACAAGAAAATTCATCTAAAACCTTCAGTGTCAAAGTATCATGATTCTTTTCAGTGCTCCAGAAAATTGAAAACACTGCTAGGAATGACAATATGGCATACGACTGATAAAGCTGTGCGACAATCAAATAAAAAATGGTACATGTTTGTCTAGCCTCTACAAAATTATGGTATTATGAAATCATGTTATAGGTGTCACAAGGCTAGTTTTATGAATGCTATCTTACAATGCATTGGTTATCCTGAAGCCTGCTGGTTGATTTGCTATGTGTGGTATTCTTAGCCGAATCAAGACGAAAATATTATTGTGGCAATATATGAGACCTTTAAAATATTTATTTCATTTTGAATACGTAAAGTTTCTAAGGAAAGGCTCAAGTTCTTCAACGACTTGCTTGGCTGTTCAATTGACTAAAGAACAGTGTCAGAAGCCGCAGAAGTTATTCAACAAAGTGTACCCTATGTCACGCAATCGCTTATCCAGACCAGGAACCGCCATAACCGAAGCCTCCATAGGTGGATGCGCTCGTGTAGGGCGCCGAGAAGAGCGAAGACCCGCCGATGATACGGTACTGCCGGCCAGCAGGGAGGGGGTTTGCGTTGTACTGTGCATCGCCGGTGGCACCAGGGGCAGTTCCGGGCTCGTTGGTGTCGACCTTTGCGCGGAATCCACCAGCGTCGGCGACGTACTTCACCTGACGATAGATGCCGTTGGCATCCGAATACCCGTATGTGCCGGTCTTGGAGTTGGAAGCGTCACCCTGTTCCTTGTGGTAAGACTTTGTGCCGTACTGGTCTTGGTTGTCGTAGCCGAAGCTATATGGTTGGGGTGGCTGCATTGGAGACTATAGTTTACTGCTACATCCTGTATTGATCTATGAGCAATGCAAGCAAATCAATAACTTATTTTGAAGGTTGCTTTCGTGAACCGTGGTCTTTTAAGAGTTGTTGTATTAGGATTAGAGATGGCTGCCCACCACTTAATGTTTTGCAAGAGAAACATTGCATTGCATCGCCGTGTTGCTCAATTTAAGCAGGTACGATTCAGGCTGTCTTGGTACATATTATTGGCAATTTGTACTTATCAAGAGAACAGCTACACATTTATTCTGAATTAATTATTTGGTTCCACAAAGGTAACTGAAATATTTCATTGTATATGCGCACGACATTTCGATACCCTTCATAAACAGAGAAATGGATGATTTCAGGGGTAATTTTAAACAGAAATATACTCCCACATAAGCTTCTTTTCTATACCATGAATCTTTATTATCACATTGAACAACAGTGATACGCATTATCCTGTTTCAGAGCAGTGTTTCTTCAAGAACATCACTGAGCCTTCCTTCGTTCCGAGCGCAACGATCGCATGTGCGTAGTGTCTATCCCAGGTGTTAGAGCTCGAAAAATAACCCACATATATTGAGTGCTTTTTGTATAAAACAAGTCATATTGAGGCTTGTTTTCTGTCTTTTTTTCGGACATGACGAAGCATGTGATACGGCTGTGTTGTAGAAGGTGAGTTTTCCTTTCGTTTTGATTAGGAAAGGCAGTGAATAATATCCGCCGCAGTGATTGTTGATCTACGTTTTGTGGAGTACTAGTGAATCTCTATCTTTGGTGCTTCTTTCGTCAGATATGGTGCTAATAAAGTGAGAATGTGTTTTACACTGCGAAATCCCGCTGCTGACAATATTTCCTTTTAGGAAGACGTACTAAAGCACGACCCGACTATTTTACCTATTGAGGTATAACGACCACCTTTACGTCGTTTTAAATTTCATTACTATTCATGCTGATTTATAAATGGTAATCTCGTGCACAACATGGTATCACTGTTTTATGACTGAGCTTGGGTACAAAGATAACTTAGACATGTTACGATTCGGTGCATCAAATGTTTCACGCATTGCATATTTTACCAGCTTTACACAGTTGCCATCCAGATGTACATATTTTTTTCGGTGTTAGTTTCTATTACGCCTCCAAATATATACAAATCTACTCACGTAATACTGTTCCTGGCGTGCGAATGTGGCGGCGAAAAAAGGGCTGTAGGCTCCGCTAAGTCCACCGCCAAATCCACCATATCCGAATTGACCACCGGCCATGGCCAAGGAGATCACGCAAAGCGCGAGTGCCTGCAACGGAAGGACGCAAGGCGTGTTTGAACCTGAAATTTCGTTCGTTAGATCTCTGTTCATTGGTATACGAAACGATAATCAAGATATCTCTCAAAAAGCTGTACTGACTCATTAGGTAAAACATTGGCGTGGTGTTAAACGTGTACTTTGTAGTATCGAAGCAGATCCAAAACTAGTGGAGACAGTTAAATGCGCACAACTACACAATGTAACACATGCAAACGAACTTCAATGCAATGTTATCTATACTGCTATTCAACTTTGCCAGAGTGTTATAAGATAAAAAGTACATAATGCCACTTTTGTTTGCATACACTACTCCTGCAGTTGTCTGGCTAAGTGTCTTCAAGCAGCTTATGTTGAATTATGGCGTGATCTCATGAAACAATGACGCATAGCCATGTGTATCAGGATGTCTAGCGTATGCAGCAGTGGTGGAACTTTGCTTTGCCGTTGAAATTCGGATTTTTGACAGCGTGTCATCTTATATGCGGAACCGGCGTTTGAAAAACGTTTTGAGTACCTTCCTAAAAACATTTCCTGGTGTCTGTAGCGAGATCTAATCTGGTTAGTACATGTGGTATGCTAAACCATTTTTTGTGTGCCCAAACAAGCCCATGCGGAAGGTGTATTGAACACAAACGAAATGATAAGGTGCCTTCCGTGTTGGTCATTTATTTATACTTCGTGATTTGGGACAGCAAAGGCTATTTCGAGGTTTCTTGATTCATGCAAGTTGGCGCTAATTCTTGCAATGGTGAGAATTACGAAATGAGGACTCTTATGGTTCTTACAGTTAACGCCGTTATTTCAAGATGGCTACCCGCAATGACAGAAACGCTTCCTTGTCGTTTGACTGACTGGATCGAGCAATTTCGGCAAGAATGGCTGCATGAACTGATGTGGTACTTTTCAATGCAGGTACAAGTGACTATTAAGGCAACAGACAATGAAATAAATAATTCACATACGTTCGTTTTTTTGTTGTGCGAACGAAACGTGCGTTACCATTCATCATTAGCTTGAACTTTGCGGTGTGTGCACAAAATTTTGATTTTTTAGTAGGTCGTAAGCTAGACCGATCTGATTTGTGCGCATCCATAAGGCGACGTAGTGCTTAACAGGGAAGCGATATTGATGCACGCTGGTTTCCTTTTGATTCTGATCGCACTTAAAATAGCCACTGAGCTTTCGATCCTACTTTGTGCTTCGGAGTGTTTGAGGTCGGTATTGACAGATTTTGCGTGCCAGGTGCGTTAGTGACTGGCATATCTATATGTTCGAAAACTGACATACAGAGTCTTCAAGCTAAATACTGCGACTGGGCAAATTTTCAACAGGTGGACTATAGTGCACTGAAGTTGCGAGTGCCATAAGCTGATGCTACGCCACGAAACCGAAATAACAAAGAAGCATATTAGCTTACGTTCTGTTCTTGTGATATACCTATCGTCATGTCATATCAACTAGCCCGAACTGCCACACTTCTAAGTTACTTTATAGGTTTTTCATTGCTACTGTCACGAAACGGCGGAAAACTTCAGTGAAATCACATCCCATCGGTGAAATTCGAAAACTACCACTATGTATGTGTTGTAGCGAAGCCTCCGAACACTATGAAATGGGTCGAACTCTTGCGTACCTTCTAGTGGGGCTACCCAACAAGGACGCCGCTCGCGCTGAGAGCCGTGCTTGGCTGTGACTGTCGCCATTTTATATTCCCGCTCGTTGCCGGCTAAACAACGCCTTGACAATTTGGTGGAGAGTGCTGCGATCCCTGTCTGTGCCTTTGGAGCTACGATCACGTACCCTGCCATCTACTATGTACCAAGACGCTTCTCAGCAAACGCCTCCTCCAATGCTACCCCCTTGTCCCGGTGTCCCCAGAATCCGCGATCCACCCATCTTCACTGGCGCTGATGGCACTGACGTGGAGGACTGGCTCGCCATTTACGACCGTGTGAGCGTCCCCAACAAATGGGACGAGGACGGCAAGCTGACCAACTTGGTGTTTTACCTTGCCGGTGTCGCCAGTTTGTGGTACAACAACCACGCGTCCGATTTTGCCACCTGGTCCGATTTGAAGACCGAAATCGTCAACGTCTTCGGCCGCCCTGCTGTTCACAAGCTGCAAGCCGAGCAGCGCTTGCGTGAACGTGCTCAGGAGGCTGGTGAGTCATTCACCAGCTATATTGAATATGTCCTGGACCTATGTAACAAGTACAATCACACCATGTCCGAGTCTGACAAGATCCGAAACATCATGAAAGGCATCGACGATGATGCCTTCACGATGCTGCTTGCCAAAAACCCCGGCATGGTGGCTGAGGTCATCACACTGTGCCAGAGCTACGAGGAGCTCCGCCGGCAGCGTTCGATTACCCGACGCTCCCCACCACGAGCTGCAACGCTTGCTGGCTTGGAGGCCAGTTGTGACCAAATGGCGTTGATGGCAGAACTGAAGTCCTTTATCCGTGAGGAAATCGCGCGTCAGTTCTCCCTCCTGCCCTTTTCCCACCAACCTGCTGTTCAACAATCGGCTACTACCCTTCTCCCTCCCATCCGCCGAGCGATTGAACAGGAAATAGCGGAGGTAATGCCTGCTTACCACCCCCAACAGCCTCCGGCTCCTGCGTCCCTGAGTTACGCGCAAGTGGTCGCCAGGCCACCCCAAGTCGTTCAAGCACCCGCCCCTCTGACTTACGCTGAAGCTGCTGCACGACCTCCGTCCGTTGCAGCGGGTATGCCCGCTACGTATGTTGACGTAACCCCTCAGCCTCAGCTTCAGTCCACCATGCAGCCACCGTTCCGTCCATCAGCCCTTGCGACATGGGTGAGACCTACCCCGGTGAACAGATGGCGCACACCCGACAACCGGCCCATCTGCTTTGCCTGCGGTTACGCCGGTCACGTGGCCCGTTATTGCCATCGCGTACAGCCGGCTCCAATTTCTTCACCTGGTGCTGGTCAACTCAGCCGTCCTTATCGCGAAGAACCGCCGTCTATGCTACCTCGATCTCGCCCAGGTCCATCTCGAAGATCACCGTCTCCACGACGCCGTTCCCTGTCTCCCATGCGGCCAAGTGCGGCAGCTCATGAGCGGAAAAACTAGTCGTCGCAGTCCCTGAGGCAAGGACTGCGACGCTATCGCAATGTGAAAGCCCTCAGAGCAGCCCCTCGAATGTCATTGACGTGCTTGTGGACGGTGTTTGTGCATCGGCTCTTATTGACACTGGAGCTGCCGTATCAGTTATGGACGAAAAACTCTGCCGCTTACTTCGAAAAGTGACGACGCCACTTTCTGGGTTATCTCTCCGTACTGCAAGTTTGCACCGGATTCATCCTACAGCAGGGTGCACAGCTCGCGTTGTCATCCAGGACGTTCTGTATGTCGCCCAGTTCATCGTCATTCAGGCATGCTCTCATGACGTCATCCTGGGATGGGACTTTCTCTCCCGCCATGACGCCGTCATCCATTGTGCCGCCGCCGAAATTGAGCTCTCACCCTTCTCGCACTTGACGCCAGAAGACAGTCCCCCGACACTGAGCAAGATCCTAACGAAAGACGATACAACAGTGCCTCCAAACTCGACGACGGCTGTGTCTGTCTACTGCGCTGGTCTCTCCAACACCATTGGACTTGTTTCGCCATCTGACCGCGCTTGCAGCAGGAAAGGGTTGCTAGTACCTTT